CTTATGTTGAGAGCCATTAAATTCTTTTTACTGTTCTCTATCTCTGAAATCCAGAATCGCGTCTGATAAATATTAAACGTGATCAGAAATTATTGATATTGAAATTATTAATTTTCCGATGGTAAATGTGCTAGTATATAAATGATGAGAAGGAAAAATACCGTTGAATATTAAACAATAGTAGTTAAGGGGAATAAATAACTATTTTTAATTATCAGAGATTTACACTTTGGTTTTTACTCCTTCTTTTTTTCTAATTATTAGACAAAAATTGGCCTTTTTTAGGGAAGGAGAAGTTAGACATGAATTTTACACCTTTAATTTTCTTTAAAACCGTTCTTCCAAATCCTTTGACTGTCTCTCCCCTTCCCCTTTAAGCACTTTAACAGGCTGAATGTAGTTCCTGTCTACATCTCAAACAAATACAAGATACGCTCAGAAAATAACCGGGCAAATTAAGAGACCAAACGATTAATAAAAATGTAATGAAATGTATGGTTACAAAGAGTGGCATCTTAGCTCATGTTAAAGCCAGTTTAAAGTGGTTATTTTGCAGTTTGCATATCAAAAAGAAGTCATTTTCATTTATTGAGAATACATTGTACACAAAAATTTTTGCTTCGAGATAGAACAATATTGTAGCCTTAAATTGTGTTACAAATTATGTAGACGTGCTTGAGACAAGCAAAGAAACCTCTAAGCCTGGCTTGTGCAAATACGACCCAGAAACGAAAATGCACAGTAGAAAGGTCCGTCTTCTCCAATGCAAAAAAATGTCCGATTGTCGAATCAAAGATTAAGGTGATGATGAATACATTTTTTAATTAGAAAGTACTTATTCAACATGAGTTTGTCCCTGAAAATCAATCGATTAATAAGCATTTTTACAAGGAGGTGCGTTTCGATTGCAGAACAGGATAAGGAGTTATGAAGAAAACTTTTTGATTTTGGGGAATGGTTTCTTTTACACGATAATTCTAGGCCCCGTACAAAATATTGTCTGCACAACAATTATTTTGCTAAACATTAAATTGCAATGATAAATCACCCACCATACTCTCCCGACTTATCGCCAACTGATTTATTTCATTTTCCGAAGTTTAAGCTGATCATTAAAGGACAGAGATTTGAAAACATCTCGGATATTACACCAAATGTTAGCAAATTTTATGAATAATTAGTTCCAACGCGTGTAAATAGTGTTTCGAAAACCTGAAGAAATTTTGGAAAAATCGTAGCGATACTCTTACGATTATTTTGAAGGACATAAATTTATTTGAAGGTTAGTAAGCCTTTTCTTATAAGAAATTTTCGATTACTTTATGGGCTCACCTTGTATATAACATTGATGAGAGTGCGTTTTTTTTTTTTTTTTTTTTTTTTTTAATTCCTTACACGAAGTGAAGGCAGTATTGTAATCGAGAAAAACTTCGGTTATCAAATTTTAACGGAAATATCCATTTATTGAAGAATAATCTGTAACTACGCTGTGAGTTATGAACATTTTGCCTATTTTTTGTTTGACGTCTGAATGCACGCACAGAATAAATGACTCTTTATTCCGAAATGGATTGTTCAACTGTGAAATGGATTAACAATGGTTTTTTTCGTGACTTCTGCCCATAGTACGTATCTCGCGTAACTCAAAAACGATTACCCGTAGAGGGTTGAAATTTTGTACATAGAACTGGTATAACGTGTAGTTGTGCACCTCCCTTTTTCATTGCAATCGGCAGTACCAAACGTGTATATATGTATTTATATACCCATCCTCTTACCCGACTTAAAAGTCCTTACCTGCTCTTTATGTCTGCAATCGTTAGTCGTAGTCATGCGCTTTCAAGTAGAGAAGTGTTTTAAATCACGAAAATATTCATGTTTGGGCAAAGTCAAATTTAAAAAAAATAATTAATTTTGGACAAATAATGAAATCTAACTTTTAACGCGGTCTTCTGTTTCCTATATACTTATTTTAGGGAAAGTTTTATTTGAGGCATCGTTTAATTAGAGTAATTCAAGGAAATATGTCGAAGTGTGTTGAAATGCAGCGATAAATGTGTGTAATTTAATAGGCCGGACATGAAGTAATATGGAGTCCACATCAGATTTTTTTTAAAGTTTGTCTCGGAACTTACCTCCCCCTCTCCGAAAGATAGATAATTTTTGACTACTTTGCTTAACTAGTCAGCCTTGCAACGTTTTCTACGAAAAGTACTTTCACCGGAAGGAAGCAAGTTTTGCATAGTATGTGTGATTAATTAATCACTAAATCATCAGCCTGTAAAAAAATAAAGAATACCTGATTACGATTATAGAACATTCTCGAATTTCTAAGCGTTTATTGAGGAATAATCTGTAACTACGCTGTGGGTTATGAACATTTAGAAGTACGTATGTAATTTTGGACATTCTTGCGGAGACAGGAATATAATAATACGAGCATAACAGCGCAATAATAAGAAATAATAGCACAATGCTTAATTATAAATTATACTGCAAAACACATATTTATAACAAATATAACATAATAAGCGTAATGTTAACTGTAATCTGCTAAGATCTCCATTCTTTCCCAATAAAATGGCGTACACCGAGTGGATATAACTTCTAAATTTTGGTATTTCATTCTGGGATCGGTTCCTGATGAATTGGCGATTGTAGAGGACTTTTGTTGTCTTTTCTCTGTGTAGTGTGATATATAAAAGTTTTTTAGTAAGTTTCCGTTCTACGGCAGATAGCTCTCTCTTATTGTGGCATAATCAGTTAGGAGAAGATAATAATTTTCAACGTTCTAAAATTCAATTTTTTTAAATTTATTTTTTAAAAAAATGCTTTGCACTTTTTAAGATTAATGTAAAACCGCGTAAAAATTAATGTAAAACCGCGTAAAAATCGTGCAAAAATTAAGCTGGGATAGCTAGTTGTTGATATGGTTTTAACCTGTCTTTGCACGGCCGGGTGGTGATTCACAGTTGCTTGATAGAAGTAAAAATCACCTGTTAGAAGAAAGATTAACTTTTTCACTTTTATATAAATTGGGGGTTTCTTGTATTTTAGAAAATTTTTTTGTTTCAGTATGATTTGCTGTGTTCTTCAGAGTGTTTTCGTCAAACTTATTAGATTAACATATATTTCTCAAACTATTCTGAATCTTTTTTGAAAAGTCTATATGTCGATCTAATTTTTACAGTACAAGGGGAGAAAAAATTTGTTGTAATTCTACAGACCAACTGATATCTGTTTACATTAGATCAGCATATGATAATCTCAAACATGATAATACTCTTCCTGCCTGTCGTGAATGCAATATAAAGTATCTTTTTCGAGCTCGCTTCAAGTGATTTATTTTAAAAACATTTTGGAGTCAAAACTAAATTGCTGAGAAATCTCTTAATTTAACTATTTTATTTCGTTGGCCTACTGATTGCTTCGGTTTATTTGTTTATGGCAAAGCACTCGAGGGTTGCCTTCTCCTTAAGCAGATAGGACTTTCTAAAGGAAATTGGCTCATATACACGTTACATATGAAGAAAACCATGAAAGCGCCCGTGCAGCCAGTCCGTTCGCCGAAATTCAAACCCTGGACCAAACTACCAGTGTTTAGAGACTTTAACCGCTTGGCCGCTGGTGGACCCTTAAGGCTACTGAATTTTCTATAAATATTGTCGTGAGTGAAGCTGTTATAGCTTTTAATAAATGCGTTTTAGGGCAATTAAAAAGTAACGTAGATTTAATATGAAATACCGGCCTGTATTATAGTAACATAGCCTTCGAAACAGATTTTGCATACCTAAAATTGGCCAAATTTAGGACTTAGTCTTACAGCTGAAATGCTAGAGAATGAAGGGAGGATTGGAAATGCCGAATTTTAGCAGAATTCGGTATTTCCATAGAATTCATTTTGATTTCGTCTTTATTGATTTTAAATGTATATATATATAATTGTATTTTTAAACTGTGCTTTTCTTTCGAATTTAAAATATTTGGACGTTTCTGTAGGATTATTAAACACTTCGACTGTGCTTCCTTTAAAAACGGAAAAATGAAATATTTGAGACGTAAGTCACAATCTTGCATTATAATATTTTTCTCTTTATATATGAAATTTAAAAAAAAAATTAAAAATTATTGTGTGGCAAATGCTTAGCTGTGTCATTAAAATGTTATTCATTTGATACATTTTTGCCGGTACTAAAAATTATAAAAGCTGAATATGTTTTATTTTAAAAAAGATACAGAATCACAAATTGAATATTTATAATTACACATTATATTGACTTAATTTCTCGGAATCTCTTCGTAATTAAAATAATTTTGTTATAAAAATCGCTTCGGCATCCTAAAGCAATTATTATCTTTTCCCTGAAAATTTGCTAAAATAAGAAGTACGGTTGCAGCGATAGCTTATCATTTTTACAAACTAGTTCAAATTAAAAGACCTTTTATTTTAAAGTATTATATTCGTCACGAATTCGTTATTTTTAATTTCGTTACATTTGAATATTTTTCCCTCTGTAAATCTGATTACAACAGATTTACTAGAGAAATAATTTTGGTATCTTGGAGCAAACGATTATTTTTTATTTCCCCACTTAAAAAAATTCGCTAAAATAAGGAGTACGTTGACATATAACTCATGATAATAGCCTATTTTCGCAGAGTATAAAATAAATATTAATAAAACATATATAATAATTTTCTTGGTTTAATTATCTTTTAAATTAAGTTATATTTGTGTTTTCAACTTCTCAAAATTTAATATCTATTCAAACATTACTGATAGCAATGTAATTTCAACGTCTTTTCCCGATATTCGCTAAAGAAAGATTATAGCTAAAGTTGGTCGTATTTTCTGTTGTATGTAACTTATGGCATAACGTAAGTGTACAAATATTCCAATCAAATTAAATCCGCTCCCTCAATTATCCGTAAATACCTAGAGGAAATTCAATGAGTTTCATTAAAAAATTACCGCAAAAACAAAGAGAAGCTGAACTCACCTTGATAGAAGAAAAACCCATCTTTCTTCCTGAGCGTCTCAGTTCCAAGTGTTGCTCTTCTTTCAACTCAAGTTCAATGCCAATTCTTGTTTTGTTCCATCGAAGCTTGTTTTTGAAGCCCGCTTGACGAAGAACCGGGTCGACCAAAAGGAGGTCAGAGCCGCGGTCCCGGATTGGAACACTGTTTACAGACACTCAGTAGTGCCATTAAAATGAAGACCCCTTGTGGGAAGCAAAAGAAGCGGATTTGGACTCTATTTTATACTTCTGAGATAGGATGAGGATTCTGATGAGGATTAGTTTTTTCTAAAAAGAAAAATCGGGATCACCTTTTCCTTTCCTTTACATTCCGATGGCAACTTATGCTTTAGAAAGGAATCTTGAAGCGACATCCTGTAACAATTTACGTATTTGCTTTTCGTTATACTTCAGTGAATTTATCGTCATCCACTATTAGTGAGCCATTGATAAAATTTGTTATATTTTTAGAGGGATTTATGGCAGCGTTTGCCAATTATATATAAAGCAATGCTTTTAAACTTTTTTAAACGTAAGAACCATTTTATAAATAATTGAATATGAAATATAAACATGCATGTAATGCAGCCAATATTTTTAGGAGTAGAAGACAAATTCCCTTGGAAAACATGCAATAAAATTAATTAAAACTCATTGTTAAGTGGCGCACAAAAGATTATTTTACCGCGAGAGATGCATCACATGCCATTAGTTTAAATTTTTAATTTTAAATAATTAAGTATTTAAGAGCAGTTTATTGCTTCTAAATCTTTTAGTTAATTAACCAATGTGTACTTTTAGTTTGAAAAGTAAGTTAAAGCTATTACGGTATGTCAAACGGAAACAAAGTAAAAGTTTACAAGGCTGTGTAGATGATAAAGGGTTTATTACTCGTAGAGCGACAAATGCGGCAGTTGCGCGCACGATAAATGCCCAGGTCTCGTAACGTTACAGTGATGGACGAAACGGAAAGTTAAGTTACAGGTGTTTGTAATGTTAAAATTCTTTCAATCTGATTTTTTCTAGATTCTAATGTAAACTGAATCTGTGCTGTTTGAAACATATAATCAAAAATATGAAAACCAACATGGTTTTTCATGAAATTAAAAACTTTTGTGTGTTTTTTAACATTATGTTACTAATAAAATTGCAATTTATGCATTGCTACCATGCATGTATGATCCACTCTCTCTCTGTGGTAAGGTTACCAGTGCACGAGAAACTTGATGTCTTTTCCTTTATTTCACTCATGGGCTCGCCCATAACCAGTTCTTAGAATGAATTCGGCAAGAATATACCTTTAATTTTTCTTTCAAATTTAACCAATCTGTAACTTCTTAACAAATTAAGCGATTTAAAAGCAACACTCTTTAATATTCTAATTATTCGTTTTATTTTCTAATACTCAAAATAACTCTTACGATGTTAAACATATTTAATGTACACTATATTATCTGTGCCCAGTACCAACCAGATCCTTTCGGAAATACCCTGTAAGTTGGCTGATATGTAGACTTGTGATTAAAAACAAAAAAATCCAAAAAGACTGAACCCGGATGTGCTGATGAAAATTTTTACAGTGTGATGTTGATACCCATTTCAGTATAAAATGAAATGAAATTTTTAAAGTTATTTTTAAACCTAATCATTGGTTTTGCAGCAATATGTCCCAACGTATGTACCAAAATGACAAAAGAATAGCTTGTTAAATTTCGTAGTTAATCACAGTGATCACTACTTTTGTAGATGATCGTCCATAGAAAATGGCTAGTATTTTTGCGAATATAAATTTATAGTGTGAACTGGGTCTTTCATGATACGAATTCTACAAAATATCAAATTCATGGGAGAGGGTTTACTGTATTCTTTTACATAAATTCATATTCTTTCTGTTTTAATATTTTACTAGTACGTACATTAAATCATATGTAAATAATGCAGGAAGTGGTTGGGTTACTTAAATTATATCACAGTACACGAAGGATGTCTGCGTAAGAAAAGGGATCCTACGTGGAGGACTTTTTAATTAGAATTATGGGAAAACAAACGATGGCTATCTGCCGACTGGAAGGGATGCCTTCATGGAGGACTTTTAATGAGAATTGGCTTTGTTCATATGAAGCTTGTACATAGGGGGGGAACTTGAAAACACTCAGCCAGCTTGTTCGCCAGAACTAGAACACAATTCTGAACTACCAGTGTTCAGCTATTTTACTGCTCGGCCGTTAGAAATATTCATATAACGATCAACGATTTCGGAAATATAGGTCAATAAGAACTTTTTTAGACACGATGTATGTATAATATCTGTAAAATGTCAAAAAATAATACCAGATTTCATGGCAAGTCAAAACAATGATTTTCTGAACCCCCCCCCCCCCCATTTTTTTTTTTTTTTTTTTTTTTTTTTTCAAGAAACCGATGAATTTTTTCTAAGGCTAAATGGAAGAGTTTTTCTCTAGGCGACCTAGAAGTAGAATCTATTTTTGGAAATACTTCTGGTTTCTGTGAAGCTGGCAAGAGTATTGATAAGACCTTTGCTAGATTTTCAAATATCATTTTTGGTATTGCCAAAAAAAAAAAAAAAAGGATTCCTAGAGGTAAGAAATTTAATTATAAGTCCTTTTGCAAAGAAAATTTTGTTATGATTAAAGAAAATTTTCTATTGCCCTTTAAGTACTGCTGAACAATGTAAAATTTCAGAAAACATTCAATTTTTGCTGTTCTTCGTAAAGAAATTTTTTCTGCAAAAAGAGATCCTTTCAGTGATTTCATATCAAAAACTAACTATAAGAAGGATGGTAGAAGGGTTTTTAAATCCGTGAACAAGTTACAGAATCAGATAAATGCACCTTCCAAAGAAACTTAGAGAGTCGGTTGTCGTGTTTCAAATAATGACAAAAATATTTCCAAGGCTTTTAATTCTTTTTATTCTTCTAGACAACGTTTGAGAAAGGATCTGAATACCCCGCAGAGGATCATTCAACGAGAAATTCGCGATTTTACCTCATCTCAGTCACTTGGACATGAGGTTTTTCATCGGAACTTAAAGAAGCTATTAGAGGCGTAAAGTGTAGCAGGAGCCCTGCGCTTGATAATTTCCAACCGGAATTTCTGAAGCATCCAGGTAACACTGCCTTCTGTGTGTTATTAGAACTTTATAACTGAGCTGGAATTCTGGTGTCCCTATGATTTGGAGAAAAGCAATTATTATACCTATGCATAAAAAGAATAAACCCATGATGATTTAAACAGCTACCGCCTTCTTTCATTGACGAGCCTTTTATCTAAAATCATGAAAAGAATGATCACATCTCGTAAAAACTGGTATCTTGAAAATAACAGCCTTTTACCCCCAACACAGGTTGGATTTATAAAATGCCAGTCAGCAAACCAACAAGTTACTTTTTTAAGCCAATCTTCGAGGATGCCATTGACTGGAGATGCTCTTTTCTAACTGTGATTGTGTATTTTCAATCTGCTTTTGATAGTGTTTGGCGACTCATATGTATCTAAAAATTACATACCCTGGGTGTGTGCAACAATTTGCTTTCATAGATTGGGAATTTTCTTTCTCGGCGCTTCTGTGCCATACATTTGGTAATTCCATGTCTAGCTTTAAACAATGCGGAACTGGCTTACCCTGTGGTACTGTTATTAGCTCTACTTTATTTAATATGTTTGTTAACGATTTCCCCGATATCTTGACCTCTGACGTGCTGTCTGATGTGGCTCTTTTTGTGGCTGATCTTGCTGTTTGGTGCTACTCATCGAAAAAAGACCATTTCAGGCTAAATAACATCCTGAATTCGACTCTTCAAAGACTGAATTGCTGGTGTATGGAAAATAATATGACTATAATTTTAAAAAAAACTACTTGCCAGTTCTTTACTTTAAATAAGTAACCTGTCACCCCTCACCTTGTTTAGAAGTGTACTGTTTCGCAACATAATGATGTTTCAACTTATTTGGGTTGCATCTTTGAGCTCGCTGAGCATGTCGTGTCATGCTCAGCGAAGAAGGGACTCCCCATTCTTAAAAGTTTGGTAGTATGATGATCCTGAATACAGCCTACAAGTTATATATTCAGCCGGTTCTGAATTATTCCAATGAAATGTTGATGTCTGCCTCGGAAAAAGTCTTGAAACTCTTTCATACTTTACAAAACCAGGTATTACGCTTGATCACTAGGGGACTTAAGATTAGCTCTCTGATTGCTGTGCAATTACTTTGTGACCAACAGCCAATGACTAATTTAATTCTTCATATATTAATGAAGAATACAGCTATCCTTTTTAATAGCCTAATTTAGAGTCCCAAATAATCCTTTCTGACGCGAATATCACAATGGCAGAACACATAATCTAGAGACTCAGAGGCTTCATCCAATGCGTTCTTGAAAACGCCCATTATAACATTATTAATGATGTGCCATATGAACTACTATCTTTTGTGAGCTGTAGAGTCATTAGGTTATTTTGATGCTGGAGACATGAAAAATGAGCAATCGCCGGGAGTCGAACCTCGACTTCTCGAATAACCGCCGAGGGTGCTACCGTTAACTCTACGAAGGCATGTAGAAAGGAGGGAGAAATTACCTTGTATACTCTCCCTTTTAAAGGGCGACTGGGGATGAGGGGACCCAATCGCCAAATCCTAGTGGTGAAGAATCATCATCTACCACTTTTTAGTTCGGGCCTCACTGTAGAGTCAGTAGGTTATTTTAATGCTTGATACATGAAGAATGAGGAATGCCTTCGCCGGGATTCGAACATGGACTCTCGAATACGCGCCGAGTGGGCTAACCTTACACCATGAAGGCATGCAGAAAGGAGGGAAAAAATACTTTTGGAATACATGGTACTTGATGTCATACATTCCATTGGAATTGAAAGTCCATTGGAATAGATGGTACTCGATATCGTACAGTGTAATCTGCATATTATTTGACGATTATACAGCAAAGTATTCGAAGATAACAACAGATTTCACCTAAGAAGATATTGAAGTGAAAAGTGTGATTTTTGAGCTTTTTAAACGAATATGAAAGTTCAAAGATGATATGTCTGTAATAGAACGAATTTCTCCCCAGTAATAGAATAAAATTATCTATTCGAAATTCTCGTCTAGTATGAATAAATTCTCTTCTCATTAATTACATGGACTGATTCCGTA